TAGCTATTCATTATCCATTTTATGGCATCCAGTGGCATCCTGAAAAGAACATATTTGAATGGACAACAGCTGAATCCATCAACCATTCTTATCATGCGGTCTCCATTGCTCAGACAGCTGCTAATTTCCTTGTCAGTAAAGCAAGAAAGAGCAACCATCATTTTGCAAGTGAAGAGAAAGAAATGGACTCTCTAATTTATAATTATGAACCGACATATACCGGGAAGGTATCTCACAGTTTTGAACAAGAATACGAGTTTTGAAATGTGAAAAACTTCTTTGAATGTTGAGCCAACCCATTGCCGCTTACTGATTAACTAATGATATTGTTGCAACTGCTGCTGTTTATTTTGTGGTTGTCTGTTGTTTATTTTTTTTGGAGTTTGAAAGTGACTATATTACAGCAACTTGCAAAATTGAATCCACTCATTACTGACATTACTGTTATTCTATTAATGGTGAAAAGCAAAATAAAAGGAGCTAATTACTGAGCAGTTTCATATACGACTAGATCATTATTATTATTAGCAATAAAAAGCACAGTTTCATATGCTGGATTGTTATTTGTTAGGACTCTTGATATCTGTGAATTGACATAATGAGGAAACTCTGGAGCTGGTATAACTAATAAAGATAAAATATTAAACATAAATTCAGTTCATTATAATTATACAGACCTTGTGCATATGCTGGATTATTAATAATTCTTTCTTCATTTACTATCAATACAAAGAAAATGAGCCTGTAATTAGATTTATTATTTATGATTTCACCTTCATTTCTTTTCCTTCTCAACGATTGTAATACAACAATAGTAACTATTACTATCATTATAACTGTGAGCATTATAGTTCCAACAACAGGTATAATAATATAAAGTAACGGCACTGTATTACTATCCTGTGATGACATGGTATGATCATTAATATAAGTGCTAGGAGTCATAGCTATAATGTCTGCATAATAACAAGAGTATAATGAAATCATCATCAAATGACCATTAATATTTGCACCTGATGTTGTCAGTGATGATGAATGGAAAGGTACTGTCTGATTCCTGCCAGTATCAGCATTTGTATCTACAATGATCATTATAATTTGTCAGATACTGATGCATTGTAATTGTACGTGACATACTTATAATAATAGAAAAGGTGGAAGTTAAAGGTTTCATTTTAATAATTTCAACTAGTGTAGCATAAAACACAGCAGGTCCATATAATGCTCCATTAATGATGTCATATGCTGTCACTGTGTAAAGACCAGCTGGCAGCGCTACCAGTGTAGGCTCTTGGACTAGTGATATATTAAGAACTAATTCTTGATGAGTGCCAGTAAATATCACATGACATATATCGGCAATTGATCCTGATACAAACACACACTGTACACTAACTGATCCATTGGTATATGGAGAACTGATGATAACATCTTGTGTATGGAATGTAGCTATTAATAAGTGTAATAAGTAAAATAAGTAATAAATGCTATAAATTCATTCATTATAAATAATTCTTACATGCTGAAGTGTTATATGTTGCTTTGGTCTTTCCTCTAAGATTCTTAACAACAGCAGTTAGTTCATAATGTCTGAAAGGTAATAACTTGAATTCAATTATATGATCAGTTTCATTAATAATATCAGTAACTTCAGTGCTCCCATCCATTAGTGAGACAAGACATTTTGATGGAGGACAACCAAGCTGTAAATGAAGTATAAAATTATTAATGAAAATTAAAATCATAAAAATTTACTTCAAAAGAAATAGAAGGTATCAGTGGCAGTGTGTTGTATTCAGCAATTGAATAATCTAAAAATGGTGATTGGACAAATTTATTATTGTATCACATATTTTTACTTCCATTATTCCTTTCAGTTTTGTTATTTGATGTATATTGAACAAATAGAGCTGTTACACTGATATTAAATGCATCACATTCTGTGACATTAGCCACTGCAATATACATATTAGGTGTAATTGTATCCAGTATGACATCTCCATCTTCTTCATCAACAACTAACACTTGATAACTGATAGGAGATCCAATGGGGACATCATTGGAGAAATAAACAGGAGGCGACCATGTTACCAGTAATGAATTATTTGAAGTGAAACTATATTGAAGATCTTGAACTGGTGATACACCTAATGTACAGAGATCATAAGTCATAACACAATCTCTTGATTATAAATAACTAACCAGTTACTGTTAGTCTACAATAAGATTCTACTTGTTCAAGAGGTGGATATGATGATATCTGACATCCAATTTGTATTCCATTATTAACAGGTAACCCAGTGATAGTAAGTACTGAGGATAAGTTACCAGGACCAATACCAGGATCAGTAAAGGATACATCACTTTGTTGTTGAATGTCAGGTGGTACCAGCCAAATCAATTCATTTCCATTTCCTTCACAGGTCAAAGTTGCTGTTGTATAGATAGGAACTGTCACTGATGAAGGAAGAGGCACCGTTATGACTAGAAAGAGAGAGAAAACATTTTTATTAATGTATTAATTGGTACTGTATTATAATTGGTACCAGATCCTTCCACTGGCAGGGAGATCAAAAAGTACAAAATAATATATCTTCTTGGCTCAAACTTGGCCATTTTTGGAGAATATTGTAATGTAGAATAATTGAGATTACATCATGCATGTACGTAGGTGTTGTTTGCATCAGCTTGTGAGCACTTGCACTGAGCAATGCTCATTGCACAATAGATACATTCATATTGACTGATGAAAGTAAACTGTTTCATCAATAATTGCAGCTATTGCAGAAAATATTCACATAGTACTGGAGCAGTACAGATAGAGATAGTCATGACAAATTAACATTTCAATAGTGCAAGGATATTTCTAATAAAAATATACGATACTTATTTGATTGTTTAACATGCTTATCTCTTGTTTACTTTAACTTAAATTCAAATATCAAAACATTTAACTAATTGACGTTACGACACTACTTAGTAGTAGTAGTAGTAGTAGCATTACCATATATGGCCATTAATTAAAATACACTACAGGATATGATATATAGTAACATTATATTTTGTTTACATTTAATACACTCATGTATTATAACAGTATTATGTGTATTGATAGTATTCCACTATGTATTGTGTATATAAATGAGTGTGTATGTTATGTACAGCATGTCTATAGTATGTGCACATAGTTCATAGTAGGGGGAGGAGAGAGTGATGTCATAAGTACACATTGCTTCTTGTAAGATTCTTCCATACATATTTTCATATTAAGTATCTTCCATAGGTACATATCTGTGTAGTCAAAGTCATTCTCTACACACCAAACTGTACTTATAAATTTATTATAATGTTGTGAGAAATCACAAATACTACAGCCTACAGGTATATCATTATTGCTATTACTAAAGCGAATTGAGAAACAATCACAGCTCAAAATTACTAAGAAGAGAAGAAAACCTATATAGAACTGTTTTCACAAACTTTGAGCTATAAACAATTGAACATTCTACACAATGAAAAAATAAATGACTGGATGACAAGTGACAATGAACACACTACTACAAAAAATATAATGTCACTAATTATTACTATACTACTCCTAACTCAAGTACAATGTCCATTTTATTAGTTGAATTGGTCTGAGGATTAGATACTTGCTGAGGTGATACTAAAAATATAACGTCCTTGTAAAGTAATGAGATACAAAAGTATCATCTCACCAAAAAGATCATCATCAGAAGAGAGGGTTTGGTCTTCACAATCATCCGCTTCCTCCACATAAGATCTCCTTTCAGAAACTTCAGATGAAGCCTACAATAAAATAAATAAAATACTTTATCAGCCAGTTTATCACTACTGTAAATACATGTACTCACAAACTGAGGGAAAAATACCGTATAGCACTTATATTTTGTGGATAATTTTGCTACTTCCGTGGATGGTTAAAATTCACAAAATTAAATTCTATTGAAAATTTATTTGCCACACCTTGTTCAATGAATAAATAGATTATTTTGCAAAATTTTTTACCTGCAAATGCTTAGCAGGGAAAAATTGCAAAATTTTATATCCAAGAAATATAAGTGCTACACAGTATATTGGTACAGTATAATAGTCATTCTGATCACAAAATTTAATGACTATACAAAAAGTATTGTATTTGCATTCTAAAAATATTTTATTCAAAATGGTGCTTTCGTGCTTTGTAGAAAGTTTGAGATCAATAGTTTTGAGCTAGGGGAGCTCTGTGACAAAATAATCTATTTTGAAAATAAACTAACAAGCTTGTGTTTACATCATTATAAGTGGTACCCATATTGTACATAAATGCAGTAACAAATAGAAAAATCATAGTATGCATAAAATTTACTTCTTGATATGGTTTCTCTGGTATCACAACAGTATTTTGCCTAATAGCTTGAAGAGCTTCCTCAGATATATCTGTAGAATCATTTTCAGATTTAGTCATCCCCTATTTTATTAATAAGTAAAAATA